CCCTCCCTCCGCCTTCCCTCCTTCCTTCGCCGACAATGGCACGTTCTTTATTTCCACCTGACCCCTGACCCCTGACCCAGCCAGGCCCGGCGATTGAGGATTGTGGAGCTCCGAGTCTCGCCCTTCACAACAGGCACTTGTATTGTTGCTTATCCTTCACAAACACACACACAGCCGCGTGGCTCACTTCTGGGGGATGAACGCACGCCGGCATGGTGTTTGTTTTCACTATAATGGCGATAATGTTATTATGAGCTGCTTGGACTTCGTCCGATGATGCTTCTTTTCATTTTTTCCCCTCCTCGCACGCCCAGTCATGAAACTCAGACCCCGTTCGCTGTGCCCACATTTTCAAGTACATACACAAACCTGTCAATCAAATCCGCCGTTGAACGTCCCTCGTTATGGTGACAACATATTCAAAGGTTTGTTGTGTTTAAAGAGCGTTGCTATAACGTACATGCTTAGAATTATTTGCGTAGTGACATGGATGCACCTTCTGGCTCTCCCCGTACTTTCAGTGTGGGTGGGGTTATAGGGCGCCTCGGGTAGGTCTTACTCCTTGTCTTTCCCTCTGTTGTTTCTGTCTGTCTTTCTTACTTTTTCTCAGCACTAAATGGCCATGTGGTTGGTTGGCTGGTGCTCTAGTGGGGTTTGCTCCTTCTTTCCTATCAAACATCTATCGTCCTTCTCTCCCCTCCTTTTTTGTGTTTTTTACTCTCCTGTAACACCTCTAATCTTCGGCACTTGTATGACCTTATTGTGTTGCAAGGCCGTAAAACTCGTACGAAAAAAACCCAACAACAATCTAAATGGCCATTATTGTGTCAATACGCTTCTCTTTATCCAAACAAATAACTTTCAGTCTGGTCACTTCCCTGTACGTGTTCCTAATTTCTGTGGAGACGTCAGCGCTGATGTGATGTCCTGCGTTATTTCCCCTCTATTACGTATATAATATGTTGTTTTCTGTTTTGATTTGGTCTCTGCTGACTGACAGTCTCTTAGAGTTCAGCTTGGTCTAGTCTCTCCTTCACATGATGATGAGCGTCATGTTGTGTTTTAGCTACGTGTCTCAGTATCTTGGTGTCTCCCTCACATGAGCGTCGTGTCGTGTCTTACTGTCTCGGTGTCTCAGCGTCTTGGTGTCTCCCTCACTTGATGATGAGCGTTGTTTTGTGTCTGGATGTCTCAGCGTCTTGGTTTCTCCCTCACATGAGCGTCATGTTGTGTCTCAGTGTCTTGGTTTCTCCCTCACATGAGCGTCATGTCGTGTCTCAGCGTCTTGGTGTCTCCCTCACACGAGCGTCGTGTTGTGTCTTAGTGTCTTGGTGTCTTTGTGTCTCCCTCACATGATGGTGAGCGTTGTTTTGTGTCTGTATGTCCTGGCGTCTTGTCTGATGGCTGATGGTTGTCGTCCCGGCGCGTGGGTAGTGCTGCTGTAGTTGTTGTGGCGAGGGATGGCGTCGGGCTTGTGTCACGTGACTACCAGACCAACGGTTACCTTCCCTCGTCCTGTTTTTTTGATGTTTCGTTGGGCTTGGTCTTCAAGAGAGTTGTCGTTTTGAGTTCAAGTCTTGCTAGACTAGTTTTTATGAGTTATTTTTCGTAGATTTTAACGTCTGTGCTCTGTGTTATGTATAATGTGTTGTTGTTTTTTGTCTGGATAAAAATTTTGTGTGTGTGTGTGTGTGTGTGTGTGTGT